CCACTTCTTCGTGTTTCTCCACTCCAAACAGTCCGTTTAGCAAGGGTCTTCCATGCACCTTAAACACCTCTGATTCAGGGATGACCCCGAAAATTCCGGCCTCAAGCAACCCCGTGGCTACCTCGGTCCAGTCCCTGTCTGCTACCATGACTTTTGCTTTGCGTGCGTGTCCCCACTCGTGCGACGGTTTGAGGAAGCTTGGGAAGTGTTCAATGTAGTGCCTGCATCCCTGCTCACAGATGTCCTTCAGCTCCACCACACCGATTTCACGGGGTATGGCGGGCTGGATGTTCCTCCAGGTAAATTGCTGTGCAGTCTTGACCTCATCCCCCTTATAATCAATAGTCCGCGTCCTGAAGAAAGAGTCCCATTCAAAAAACTCCGTCACCTCGCCAACCCCTCCCAGCCGAGCCACGTCACGAGCGATCGACCGGAGGATGCGGGTGTGCACCTCTGACACCATCTCATGCACCAAGGTGGATTGTCCATCCTGCAGCGAAGCAGTCGGGCAACCCCATAACGAATTCAGCCCCATGCAAATAGCTTGTACCCATGCGATGACCCAAGGTTCAGTGGCATCGAGAGCGAGGGTGATCTGGGTTCGAAAGGTGGGCAGAGGGAAAGTGTCCTTAGTCCCTAAAGCTTCCGGAAACCCTCCCATTGCCGTGGACTGGCTGCAGAGCGACGACACCCTTCGAAACTCTCCGACCAGGTCCTCCCCCATCTCCCAAAGCCTCTTGCCACACAGTCCTTTTCTCGCCTCTCGGCGACGCACAGGGCTTTGCCCCGGGGTGTTCACACCACTCGACAAACAGCGATCTGTAACTGCATGTCCATCGCTCGCGAGCGGCGCATCTGGAGAAATGCCAGGGGGCAGGGGAGGGAATGGAACATCCTCCACTTCTGCCCCCACAGGGTTTACCCCCCGTATCGTAGTGCACCGTGTAGAAGCCAAAGCCCCAAGTGGGTCAGTTGTCTGCCTCTTCATCCGGGCGCCAATGACCTCACCGCTCAAAAGACTGTCCTGCTCAGGGCTTTGCCCCCGAACCCCCAGGGTCGCTGCTGTATCGCCTGTAACGCGTCCCCGAGCTTCCAGGGCATTCCCCCGTGATGTATCTGCCAACTCGTCACCAGGGCACGCCCGCCCCGAGTTCGTAGTTCTCATAGTGCCAATGCCTTCTGAAGCCACTTCACCCTCTAGTCCTTCTTGGGTTTTGCCTGCCCTTTTTTCCCTTTGCCTTTGGCGCCTTCTTCTTTTTCTGGCTTGCCCCCCTTGCCTTTGCTCCAATCCTTCCAACTCCCGGCCTGGTGAGCCTTCACTTCGGCGCGGTGCTCCGCTGTTGCAATCGAAAGCTCCTGCCGTGAGGAGAGGCTGGCCCCGTCTGGGGGCAAAAGTTCCATCCGCTGTGCGGATGTCCATGCAAGGCCGGTGGACTGGGCTTCGAGAGACTTCAGCCTCTGAATCAGGGTGTCCATCGCCCCGGGCACCATGCCCTTCAATAATTGATCTCCTATTGTAGATAATGTCAAAGCTTCCCTCGCCATTGGGCCTGACATCTTGCGGAAGAGGGTTTGTCTGAAGTATCTGAGTAAAGTGGGGCTCCAGGGACCCCCCCGCTGATGGTCGAGCCCCACTTCCTGCACCAGGAATTGCTGCATCTGTTCGATCGCTTGCGAGGTCAGGACACCCGGAAACTGCAGTGCGATCCCGCGAATTTTCTGGGATTCGCCGAAGATCTGATCTCCCTTCAGGGCCAAATCCCCCCCGTCCTCCGACGACCCCGACCTGCTTTCCTCCTTCTTGTGGCGAGATCGTCGGGCCATGCGCTGTGCACGGCGCCGCTGCTTCCGCCGGGTTCGGACCTGAGGATCCAGTCCCGACCCTCGGAACAATACCTCCTGCGAGATCTCCTTGAATTCGACCGTTGTTGAACTGCTCGAGGAGCTCGATGAGCTGCCAGGGCCTCTCCCCGTCTCCTTTTTTCTCTTCCTCGATCTCCCCCTCTTTGACTCTCCGCTCTTGGACCTCGGAGAATGGCTTCGCTTCCGCTTCTTCTTTTTCTTTTTCTTTTCTTTCTTTTTCTCTTTTTCTTCCTTCTCCTTGGCCTCCTTCACCTCGATCTCTGCCGCTGCTGCTGTTGCTACAGGGCCTGCTCCCCCGACTGCTTCCATCCTGCTCCTCAGGCCGGCCAGCTCGTCGTCGGGCTTCGCACGCCCTTCCAACAACACGTCGCGCCAGGGGGCTCCGACTAGCTCCTCTAAAGTCTTGATGGTGCGGAGGTCGCTGCAATGATGTACTCGGGCTGCGGTCATGGCGCCTGTGGCCCAGGTCAACAGGGCTTCGTGATCTGTGCCATGAAGCCTGACGCTCAGGTGCCGCCCGGATGCGTCCCTGTTGTCCTCGAGAATGCGCCCCGTGAAACGACATGGCGTATCATGGCGTCCCGTAGTAATACGCTGCCTCTGCAACCACCAGATCCCCGATGGTCGGATCCCAGGGCAGGGCCTCTTCGCCCCGAGGGCCCATGTCCTCTGCTTGAGCGGCGGGTCGACGAAGGCCTCGTCTCCTGCGATCGGGCTCTTCTGCTCTTGCCGGTCTCCTCATCTTCGGTGCCATTTCCCTTTACCTTTTCCCTTGGGCGGTCGCCCCTTGTTGCTGTACCCCAGGGCTTGACCCCGTATGATGTGCTTGACACCCTTCCACTTCTTGGTGCCTTCCGGTTGCCGTCCACGATATCCTGGCGGGGATCTCGACGGTGTCCGAGGGCGCCGCGGCAAAGGCTTGCGGGCCGATGGCTTTGGCGGGACCTTCCTAAGTCCAGCCCCCTCAGGGTCCCTCGCGACCTCTGTGTCGGGACTGACGCCGTCGTCGTGCTGAGACGGGTCTTCACTTGCTTCCTCGTCCGGCTCACTCTCAACCTCCGCCTCGTTCTCGGGCTCCTCAACCTCTTCCTCCTCTTCTACTACCTCTTCCTTCACGGGCTCAGGCGTAGGCTCTTTCTTGGCCTTGCGTCGCTCTCGCTTGCGGCTCCGGCTCCTTGACTTGTCTTTCTCGTCTCTCCTCCGGCGTCGATGTCGAGTCGATGAACCAGGGGTAGCTGCCTCCGACTCTTCTTTCTTGTCCTTCTTCACCCCCGCCGAGGCGGCCGCCGGGTCCTCCTTGCCAGGGTGAACCCCCGCAGCGAACTTCTGCGATGCCCCAGCCTTAGTGTCCTTCTTCTCGATGAGGTAGCCCTGCTGGTCCACCACCCCAGCGGTTTTGTCAGCCTCGAATGCCTCGGTGTCGGCCTCAAGGGTATGCAGAGTTTTCGCCAGGAAGTGGATGAGCTCGGAGGCTTTCGAAGGTGGATACCGTGTCACCACCAAACGCTCGATGCGGGTGGCTAAATAGCAGGGATTGCACAACCCCGAAGTACCTGCGGCTAGGCCCAGTCGATTATGGCAGCTTTTGCAAGCTGCCATCCACAACTGAGAGCCAAACACTACGGAACCGTCAAAGGTGGTGACTAGTCTTTATCCCCGGGGGCGGGGCACCATGTCATTAAATATCATATATTTGGTCAAGTACTTCACCATATAGAATCTAGAACCTCTCAGCCAGAAACGACAGTATGCTCGTACATGCTATGTACATGCGGCATGCTTTTTTTCCGCGTCTCAGCGATATTGCAACCAAGTGAAATTGCATGCAATCAGTCCATGGCACAAACGGACCTAGTGCGGGACACATACCAAGTACGGTACACACATGAATAGCCAATGCAAAAATACACTTCGCATACTCGTTTGCAAGCTTCTCCCCCACTGGACAGTTCATCAAGGCATTGACTCTGACAGTTCCTAACAAGTCGGCTTGAGTCTGAAAGGGAATTTACTTCTGTCCGATGAGACCGCTGCAAATGAAGTTTCCACAGGGATGCCATGTAAAGAAAAGACACACACACAACCTTGCCTGCACACTGTACATGTTAGGAGCTTGCAGCAACCTCCCATCTCCAACAGACAGGTCCACCTGAAACACCACCTCGGACCTGGCGGCAAAAGAGCTCAGCAAGAGACAAGGAGACTTGGAGCGTACTTTGACACCATTCCGCCATTGCAGTAAATCCAAACAAATCTGGCCATGTGTGATCAAAGGCGCCGAAACGCACAACACCCACAGAGAGCAAACTTTGCTTTTTCTGTTTTGATGTCACTCTTTCACCCTTGAAATCCCACCTTGGAATCGGCTCAGAGGCCACAAGATGCATGCCCACCTTTGGATCCTCCAACTTCTTCAACTTTGTGCTAGTGAAGCCACTATCCACGACCTGGGCATCTGAAGTGGACACCGGGGATGGGCAATGGAACAGCCACATGTGGTGTGGCTCTGTCTATCGAGCCTTTGCCCAGGATCTCCTTTGCAAACTATGCAAAGATCGAAAGGCCATGGCAGCAAACCCTGAGAAGCAAACACGAACAAAGCTTTCTCAAACTTATCTAGACTAAGTTATAAATAGACTAATATAACAATATATATATATATATGTAGATATATATATATATATGTGAGCCATCTGCGTAGACTTGTCGCCTTGTAAATCATGTAACACTTTCTAATCTTTCTGTAGCTCTCAGCTGCTGTCGCATAGGGTTGGCGAAGCACTGGCCACTCACGGCATTGACCATGGAGGACAACTTAAGCCGACCAAACGTAGGCCAACCACTTGACCAGTGAAGAGATCCTTTTCCATTGTCCACTGTTGCAACTGCCAAGCAATTCAAAGGCGGGTTGGCCAAATTGAGGACATCCAGCAAAGGATGCTTATAGTGCTACCGCAGCGAAACGGATTTGCACAGGAACTCCATGAACACCACAGCAAATGAGTTTAAGTCTTTTTCATTTGCTATCAATTGAGTCAACTGTCTCAATTCGCTTCCTGATGCTGATATTCACAAGCCTCAGCCACCTTTGGTGGAAGATGCATTCAAATTACATCAATCGAAGAGCCTGCATTGGTTCACCCGTCTTTGGCTTGTTCTGCGCCTGTAGCTTCCTCTGAACAAAAGGCCGGGGTATTCAACATGGATTCCTGGACTGACTGCGGAGTGCAGTGCAAGGGGAGAAAAATGAGCAACACCTGCGGTGCTCTGGCATCTTTGCGTGGAGCTGCATACATGGACAAACACCCTTGAGAATGTTCGATGGCTGAAAGTGATGCCAGCTGTCCAACCAATGACAAACAGTGCTTGGTTGGACCTTGCAGGCACACAAAACTTGGATGTATTTCTTTCAATGCCGGAAAACATGTGGAAAATAGGAACCGACACCGCCCTTCCATCACTTGGATTTCAACGGTCCTCCGCAGCATCCTCCTTTGCTCAATCGGAGGTGAGGTCACGTGCCACGGTTGAAGGGACTTAGGGATCAGCCAAGCAAAGATTTATTGGCCATTGGGAATATGATCTGATCAAATGTATCAATGTATTCCCATTGCGCTTGAGCACTTTGGTTGAAGATCTTTCCACAAACCCACTAGAAGCTGCACTTCAGCTGAGAGCAGCACCACTCACGTCACCTGCTTGCAGCTGCAGGCTGGGAGAGCTCTAGACCATTCTGTTGCAATAGGTGACAGCTCTTTGAAGGATGTTTCCCAGTTGAAAGATCTCTACATGTCCTTGAATGCTGAAGGGCATTACTAGAAGTTCTGACTCCGTACAAATCTGTAGACAAGATGCAGGATCCCAGCCTTCTTTGCCCTGCTCGAGACTAACCACCTGTGGTTCACTTGAGCTTCACCTAAAACTCTTGAAACAGATTCAAACATGCAAACCAATTAAACAATTAACATATGAACCTAACCTAAGTGACATTTATGTGTGGTGGATTGTAGCCGCTTCGATCTATGGCAAGCTGATGCAAGTCCAACCATGACTGTCAGTGTTGACACTTCTTGCAATTGTGAAGTGATTCTAAGATTATGTATCTATGGAAGAAGCTCTGGAGTGTAGTTCGTGCACCACACTAAAATGGAACAACATGAAACAACTGAAACATTGTATTAATCAAAGACTTTGCCTGTTTGCTGGCCTTCGATGGATCCGGTGCCGCGGACTGGGATGCCCCGTCGCCATACCTCTATTTCATGGCCGTACGTTCATACGTGTTGAACACTGCAAAGTTCAGTTTTGAGGTTGTGCAGTACGAAACTTAGAACGCTAGTAGTAACAAGTGCCTTACTAGTAGTAACAAGTGCCTTACTAGTAGTAACAAGAAGCTATTAGACACTAAGGGCTTGCCATGTGGAGAGAGACTTTCGCTCTGCTTCGTCACTCTCCTTCTTCTCCTGCAAAACATCACGAGGCTGCTAGGGCTCCAGTCCAACAAGTATCCCTGCCGGGAAACATGGGATTCATATGGATTCATTAAGTGGCAATGTGTTGAGGAAAGGCCAGTTTTGACCTTGTGACCCCGTAACTTCAGGATTGACATGAATTGAACTCTCCTGTGGGACTGTCCAAAATCGTTATAGTTATGTAGCTGTCACCTCCTTACTTCCTTAACTCCAAAAATTGGGAACTAGATGTCCACAACCTCCGACGCCATCATGGCCCTGTCCTCTGCGTACCTCCCAAGCTGGTGGATCAAGCACTGCTTCGGAATTGAAGGAGGATCCGTTGGTGGCCGAACTGTCCAATAAACACGCTAGATCGGCTTGCTTTGAAGAACACAAATGAGGAGTTACTGGCACTATGTTTGCTGCTCTCGACTGATATCATCGTAGGGCTGAGAGAAGCTTCGAACATAGTAATTCAACATGTTGATGTCAGTCTACTGCATGCTGCCCCCAATTTGTACACTGGTGGCAAAGGCATGAGTGTGGTTGCGTGTATGAATCTGAATCTTGCGACACGTCGTGACCAAGTGTCAACCGACACTTCATGTCGAGCTTATTTGCCTAGTAGCGATGCCCTTGTTACTAGTAGCTTCTTGTTCCTAGTAATAATGCCAGGAGCTACTAGTAGCGTTCTTGCTACTAATAGCGATGCCCTTGTTACTACTTCGGCCTATAAATCCCAACGGCGCACCATCCGCTGAGGCTTGTTCGGCTTACTTTGACCTCCACCTTCTCCTCCTCTGGTCCATACATTTTCATCACCTGAAGTGCTCTGAGCATTTTTTGGCTGACAGTCTCCGAACAGTCGATTTTGGTCTCATTTCAATCAATAACTCCGCCACTGAACCTGTTTTTCAATCAATTTGCCACTACAACCCAGGATGCCAACCAGTTGGTCGACTTGTCAGGTTTGCTGCTCAACTCCGCTACAAGTACAGGAAAAGCACAAACTGCTGCATGGCACCAGTCACGACATATATTACAACCCAAATTTGGGCACAATGAAAGTAAGAGTTGGCCTTAAAAAAATGGAACCTGAGGTGGACAGGATGCTGGGCTTGAAGACATGCTGACTTGTTTCATGGGTGCCTCCACCAAAGACTTGCGCGACTCTGCTAAAGCTGCCATTGATTGCCGCTGCGTCGATGCCCTTGTGTGGTTGCGATTTGCGACAAACACCCAATTGAGCACACGCAACAGCTTGACACAGAACCTCTCAGTCTTAGACAATATCCAACTAGAATCATGTCGTGGACTCTTTTGAACAATTCAGAGGTTTCGCAAATTCCTCCGCTTGTACCTTCCCAGTCAGTATGTTTGCGCAAGGATAATAACGAATGTCCAAAGAAATTGTTTTGCTCTGAAAGAGGGCTGGTTCAGGTCAACCGTTCAGTTGACTTTGCACGACTGAAAGCACAAAAAACAACTGATAGACATCCATGGACCCTTGGCTCGCAGTCCTCTTTGGCTCGCTAGCCTAAGACAAATTTGCAAAGGATGTCAAAGGTCAGAGTAAGCTGGAATAGATTGGAATAACTTGGTTCCAGGATGAACAAACAAACATTGATTTTGCTCTCTAGGTTTGTGTTGCATGAGGTGTCCCTGAGGCCTTGCGCACCGAAGAGTGCCTGGGTTCCCAGCTGGGTTCCCAGCTGCCTGATAACTCGGCTGTTCCGTCCTCACGCTCTCATCAAATTGGACAACAGCACAGACCGGTTCAAGAAGCACTTCTGCGAGCTGATTGAAATATGGCAATTTAGCCCAACAGCTTGCGGTTGCAGGACACCCATGGACATCCAATTTCCATCTCAGTGTCCATGCAGGAAGAAAGAAACTCAGGAAAACAAAAAACGAACAGAACAAAAATAGCTAAGAGGGAGGAACACAAAAATGAAGCAAAAAACAAAAAAGTAAAACAAGATGGAGCCCACGAACCCGAATGCAAACACGTACTCGAAAACAAACGCCTAAACTGACACTCTTGTAGGAAACACTCTTGTGACTCTTGTGGGACACTCTAGTCAGACAGTCTCGGGACTCTTGTGCAACACTTTTGCGGGACACTCACGTACTCAAATGTAGCTTGGCCGCGCAAAAGTTGAAAGTTCTGAGGCCACAGCTTCCAGAAACTGCTTCCCGTATTACATTTGTACTCCAGAAGCTTGCCGCACTACATTTGTACTACCAAGTGGCCAGTTCTGAGGCCAAACTCTCAGAAACTGCTTCCCGTACTACGTGGCCAGTTCTGAGGCCGCACCTGCCAGAAGCCGCTTCCCGGCCACAGCTGCTTCCCGCATACAAGTTGCCACTTCCGAGGCCACAGCTCCCAGAAGCTGCTTCCCGTACTACATTTGCACGTTCTGAGGCCGCACCTGCTTCTCGGCCACAGCTGCTTCCCGCATTATATGTGTACTACAAGTTGTCCCAGAAGCTGCTTTCTGCACTACATTTGTACTAACAAGTGGCCAGTCCTGTTATGTTTCTTCGTCAACCGTGAGGGATTAGAAATCATATCATACATGGTAATGGGGTTCTTTATGTTTCGTGCCTTTAATCCGGTGAGTGGATACTATGAGATAACATTTTGTGTGCATGGAGCCTCGCATTCCCGCCAGAGGCCTTTCGGGCCTTTCGAGATGTATGAGGCCACGGTCACGGTTAACAGAAGCTGCTTCCCGCATGGCATTGGTACTTCAAGTTGCCACCTCTGACGGACACTCTTGCGGTGCACACTTGTGGGGCACTCTCGTGTGACACTCTTGTGAGACACTCTTGTAGGACACTCTGGGACGCTCTTGTAGGACACTCTGTAGGACACTCCTATAGGACCCTAGTAGGAAGATTGCTTTTGTCGGACACTCTTGTGGAAAAAGTCTGGCGTCGGACGCTCTGATGGGACACTCTTGTATGACACTCTTGTGGGTCACTCTTTGGGGACACTCTTCTCTTGTGGGACACTCTTGCGAAACACTCGTCTTGTGGGACACTCTTGCGGGGCAATTTGGTAGCCCGAAAAACGAGAGCTAAAAGCGCTGTGCAGCCCGGGGTCGCTACAGTGGGCCTCTCCTGTCGCCGCTGGAGGCAATGGAGACACTTTCCGTCCTCCAAAACAGGGGCCGCTCGTTAAAGCATTTTTGTGGCGCTTGTCGACCGCAAGCCATTCCAGGCGCGAGACGAACCCTTGCAAGTCCAATGCAACTTTTAGCTTCTGTAGGAAAGAAGACCTGTTTGACGATGCGCTTTGAAAGGCCGCAGCGCCTCCGATTGAATTCTGCGGCAACAAGTCATTACCACATGGACACTCTTGTCGGACACTCTTGCGACGCTCTTGTGGGGCACTCTTGTGACTCTCGTGGGGCACTCGTGGGCATTACTACTAAAGTCTCCGGAAGTCAACCGTCACGTCTCCAAAGCTAGCGTTTCGTACGAGACTTGCTCCAAAGACACACGTCAAGTCTACAAAACGAGCATTTCGTACGAGACTTCCTCAAAAGCTCATGCGTCAAGTCTGCAAAACGAGCGTTTCGTACGAGACTTCCTCAAAAGCTCATGCGTCAAGTCTGCAAAACGAGCGATTCGTACGAGACTCCCTCCAAAAGTCACGCGTCAAAGTCTCCAAAACGACCGTTTCATATCGCTTCATACGAGACTCCCCTCATGTTCAAGCAGCTTCGCAGTTCCAGCCCCTCAAAACCACAACGGCTGACACGCGATTCCCAATGTCACACAGCGACACTCACCTCCACCAAACATCGCAACCTCACGATAACCTGCATCTGCCACAAAAATTCAACTTCGACACCTCTAACATGCACAATGTACTGCGCCTGCCACGGAAAGTGACGAAGTGGCCTTCACGTCTTCAGCACAATGTGCACCACACCAAAAGTCACAATTTTAGTTGAGACCTGTCACGAAAACACAGCTTCGGAGCAACAGCCTGAAACGCAAATCCCAAAGTCACAGCCACATCCAACACCCCAAAAGCACCACCCTCTAAACGCCAATCCCAATCTGACTGCGAAGAAAACTGCAGATCTCACAAAACGTTGCGCCTCGGAGTGAAATCATCCTCCACTTCATCCTCTCACGTTTCCACACGATTCCTCGCTATTCACACGAATCTGACACGCCTGCTTCCATCCAAAACCCTCTCCAAAAGCTTCACCAAATGTCAGCACCATAGCGCCCTACCGCGATCGGTTGCGAACGCTACAACCACGAGTCGCGAACAAAAGTCTACCAGCAGACCTCAAACGAGAACTCTTCGCTATGCATTCGGGAAAACATATTCTCCCCCTGTTTTCGTGGCTCCTTGAGGGCCGTGACATCACGCTTGGGCGATCATCTCCTCGCGATGTGGAGAACCAAGCTGGGTCGAAGGAGATGAAGCAAGACTCTCTTGTGATCGAACACAACTTAGACAAATGTGCTATTTAATCAACAACAGCAGCAGAACATAGTGTAAGACCATTTTCTGGATAAGAGAACTTTAAACTTGAAGAGTATGGATTCCTCGATTGCCAGGAGTGCTAGGCCAGGCAGAAGCTTCCTGATCTTTATATAAGGTGCCCCGGCCTAGGGTGTACTCGCTGGAACCATGGGAAAGCACCGACCTCATTGTTTGGTCAAGCTGAATTGTTCATTCATTTTGGCCTTCTAAGCTGGGTTTATCCAGCTTTTGGGTCATTTGACTACAGGATTGAACGTGCCCCGCCCAAAAAGAAACAAAGTCAAAGTATGCATAATCAAAGTATCTTTTCACTGAAAGGGCTCTAGAAACATCTCGACCTGTGTCATGAAAAGGCCACGCCTCCGTGCCGCAGAGGCGGCGAAACTGGCGCGGGAGCCGCCCTGAGTCCCGAACGTCCACGTCGACGGGAACGGATTCGACCGGTGACGGCGGTCACTTCGGCTCATCTCAAACGAGTCTCAGAAGTCGGGAGTCCAGGAACAGGTCCACAGCCAGGCAAGGAGATTCTGGGCCTTAGCACACGGCCATTGGCCAAAACTTGCAGCCAACAGAGTCCGAAAAAAAAAGTTTCACTGAACAACAATTTCTTGCCTAATATGGAGTACGTATGGGTACATTCACAGTGGATGTCCTCTCTCATCTGTCACCCTCTTGGTTTTGTGCCGTCAGCATGCGCAATATGAGTGGGAGACTAAACACCTTGTTGATCTGCTAAAGATTGGATTGGCCCTTATCAATCACAGCCTACCGGCATCTATCGGCTCTCACGCTTCTGACTAAACCGACCACCTTACCTGATTTAGTTTCTCACGGCCACAGACCTCGCTCTTTGGGCAATCGCAAACAGAAAACGGCTGATTACTACTGATACTACCGAACTACTGGTTCTATTACCATCACCGCCACCACCGCCACCTTGTTTTCCATGCTTCCTGAATGCATGTTCTGGATCTTTGAGGTTGAAGGTACTCACAACAAGATCTTGACCCCAAAGCCCCTCACATGATACCTTTTCTGCAACCCTTTCTGGTAGGGTGCACTGGGTGCACGCATTTTTAAATCGGCCTCCCGACGCAGGCGGTGGCTCGTTCAAGGCCGCTTCAGAAGCACGAGGCAAGGCAGCCGCAGTGGCCGCGAAACTGCAATCAAAGTGGGCAAAGGATGACATCCACAGGACTTGCCTGTGGTTCTTCGCTTGAGATGTATATAGTAGTAACATTTGTATGTATATGAATATGTGTGTGTGAGTGTATTACGTTGATCTGCACGGTATAATGACATTATACAAACAACATCAAACAACGCTATAAGAAGGGCGTCTTTTAGCTTATGCTCGAGATCCAGCTGCTATCAGCTGCTGGTTGTGTGACAGTCTACAGCAAACACGTCTCAATGCGGCCTGGAACCTGTCGCGCCACTGGCTGCAGCCACTTCAAGGTCCACCTCTTGGTCAATGCGAGCCTGTTGAGAGAGGTGAAGACCATCCCATGTTTAAGACTGAGTACTTGGCCAAGTCCTTGCATACGGTCGCATCTTGATTGATCATGGCTGATTCGACATATGGAGCACTTGTTCAAAGGGTCTGGATATTGAAGTTGAAGAATTGCACGTCTGGCTTAAAAATCAAGCTGCAAATCCCCACCGGCCGGAACATTTTGGCAGCTTCGGGCAGCGTGCGCTCGCGGATTCTGCAGCTGTGGATGTCCCCGTCTGACATAGCAAGCCACAAACTATAGTCTGTGACCGGTGTCATCCAGAAAGTCCACGAGCATTGGCCAACAAGCCTGTGGAGCCATGCTCAGCAGTGCTCAGCATGCTCTGTGCAAAGCTACTCCTTTGATGAAGAAAAATCCAGTCCATCACAGTACGGTTCGGCCCCTTGTGCAAGAGCCTCCCGAGACGAGTGAACAAGCGTGTGAGTGACAGTGGTGCAGCAAAATTGCATACCATGTGTTTGATCGTCTATAGCAGTTTGCATGTTTTTTTGCAGGTTATCAGTCTTGTTGATTCTTTGTTTGTTTGTTGGTTTGTTTCAAGAATCCAAATGGCCTTGTTGTTTCCAACCTTGGGTTTCGTGGGAGCAACCCCTTAACAAAGTCCGACGAAGGCATGCTCTGTTATGCAAAAGTCCTACTGTCAAACCGGCAGTGTTGGAGAAAATGGAGCCCGGCACAGGCCCGGTGTCAAGGATGGTCGTAGTCTGGTCACAAAGGTTCCCCCTACTGTTGGTGCTGTGCTCTTCCACGGAACTGGAAAGGAACTGTCTCAAAGCCCTTGGCCAACAAGATTGTCAGCAAAGGTTCTTGTTGTGCATGACCCCAAATCTGGCTTGGAGGCCCCTGGCAGTAGCAAATTCAAGAATTTCCAACTTGCTACACCAGTCTTTGCTTGTATGTTCTGTCTTTTTTAAAGATTTTTGAGCAGTACATTTTATAGGCTGCAATGTTAGTTTTGGACTTTTTATGTGTTTGTATACAGTATACAACTTTTTTGTTGTTGTTTTTGCTAGCTGCTAGGTTGCTCCCTATGGGGTTTCAGATAGGTTTTGCTCAGCGTTCTTGCATTTGTGGGTCAAGTCCAAGACCTCTGCTGTGCACCTGGGGAGCGGTCCGGCCTCCTCAAGGATTGCTTTGCAACAAGCATCACAGTGCTCCGTCTCTTGAAACCACATGCAGAGCGCCTTGCTCACCAAACCGCAGCATCCGGAGCGTCGGTTGGGAGTTCTGAAGAGTTGTCCGAAGTCGCAGTTGTCCAGCAGAGAAGAAGCAGTGTTTCTTTAAGTTGTGACCAACATGATTTCTCTCTGCTCTGAAACTCATTCCCCAAATTCGATCAAATCCTGATTTCTATAATATATATATACATTATAGGCAAGAACTGTGCTTGGGGTAGGCACTGCAGCCCTCAAGTCAAGCGTCCACAAACTAGTTAAATAGTTTGCTCCAAGCAACTGATCCCTCAGGGAAGCAAAGCATGACGGTTCGAGCCACAGACTCTGGTGTCTTCCACACGACACCTGCAGCGATGCTCGGTTCGGTCCCTTCAACTCCTGAGGTTCTGAAGATTGAACCAGTTTGATGCAACGAATTCGATTTGCTTATATGTTCTAACATACAAAATGACAGATACTAACAAACATGCATATAAAGTAATATAGAGTAATTATGTGTTTAACAAAACATCAAAGAGGGTTGGGCCTCTTGAACAAGGCCCATGTTCACAACATTTCATCCGGTCCAGTCCCACATGGATGGGTACAAGCACAGCCCATTGCTTGGCCTGGAATCATGCGTGCAGCAGGGCTGCTTGCAATGGCCGACCCCCGCAACAGCATTTCCTTGAGCTATTGGCGTCCAATCCACAGGGTGCTCGATGCAAAAGCACAAAAATGCATGAAAACACAAACAGAGTGATGCAATGACGCACTTCACTTCCACAGCCAAAAACATTGTGGCGACTTAGATCCAAGCCAGGAAGGACAAGTCAAAGACACTCCGGCTATCGCTGACCTTGACTAGAGCAATCTGGATGTGTAAGTAAAGTCTGGATGTTGGAGATTTGGGTGGTTTGCTTTAAAAAAAAAACGATGTTTGGTGGTGTTTCAATTTGCTTCGCTCGGGCTTTGTCAGGGGCATTTGCACTTTGCGTGCTTTTTTTTTCCGTTTCTGCCAGGTGTCTTGTTATTAACAGGAGGTATCAAGATGATTGAACATGTGCTGTGTTGGCACAGTATGGTACAGTCATGGCATTTTTCCAACCTTGCGGGAAGACTGGAGAACAACAGCCAAACTGAAAGTCTCCCTCCTCAGGCCACCAGGCCCCAAAGAAAGATGCGAAGCCTGCAGCCTGCCGAAGGGCAACAGCGAGGCTGTGACAACATTCAATTATTTTAAGGCTGCTCAGTATTGTTTAAGAACTGGGGTACTGTGCTCTGCTTCAGTGTGGCTCTATATAACATCCAAACAGTCTTGTTGTCATTGTGCCGTGATGCCTTGAACATGCAGTCGACCTGCCTCCTCAACGGGACCAAGCAGCAAAGTGCCCCTTTCCAAGGCCAAGCGTTGTGGATCGAAGTTACCTTCACTGCTGAGCACCAAAACCTTGCGATGGGGTTGTCAACAGCTGAGCCGTCAAAATTATCAGCCATGCCAACGTCGGATTAATCAACCCTTATTCAAGGTCAATAAGGTAAACAAGGTTTGAGATTCGAGGTATTGGAGACAACATCCCCTAAGAGAGGTGATGAGCTGATTAGCTGATGAAGGAAACATATTGGGAAGAAAGATCCCCTGTGAGTACACAATGTCAGCACAGATTCCAGCAGGGAAGGATGAGGAAGAAAAGGACGATAAAAAGAAGGGGCATGAGAATGATGGATGCGAGGACCAGCTTGAATGATTTCATGCAGGTGGCATGGGAAAAGGAATCCTATCTCTCAAGAGATGGCATGGATCAAATGATCAGTTTCACCATGAATCAGTTTCACCATTGGATGAGTTTCATCATGGGAAAATATTGGATGCTATCTGAAAAAATAAGTAATCAGATTGCTGCTTTAAACAATATACTACATAATGAACTATCTTGTTGTTAATGGGTTTGATTTATGGGGGAAGGTTCTTGGCAAGGAAGTTGTCCATTAGAGGGAGGTCAATGCAACAATTTATGTTTGAATCAGTTTAGTATTGGGGGCTCGAGATGGGTTTGATTTATAGGGGGCGTCAACATTACATGGCCTGTTCTCGCCTAGCCTAGGGTGTTCGAGCAAGGCTTTCGCTCACAAGGACTGTCGGACACAACACATCCATTCAAAGAGACCCCCTATCGTTCCACAGTGTTTGCGAGTTGTTCCTAGAATGCCACTGCACGTCGTTCGCTGTTGGACAAGTCTTCGGGCCTTAACCGGGGGCGTGGTTTCCCGAGGCCTCCCCTGCAATTCTGGGCTATCGTTGGTCGTTGGGGTATCGTTCCAGTTATCGTTCTAGGCACACTAAAAGAAAGTCAAAAATATATAGATTAATTGATTGATTATATATATATATGTCTATTAGTTGTCTATATAATATATCTATATATAGAGACTAAGTGTCAGCCCGCTCGGTTTTTTCATGCTTTGCAAGGTCTAAGTTGTCAAAAATGGAATAGCATAACACTTAAAACTTAGCTCAAAACATCCCCCTGGGAAACCGTCGCCAAGCCGACCGGAACCCAGCTCAAGGATGAAGACATTGTCCTCTTTCCGTCCGCCAAACCGGAACAAGAAAGAGGCCTCACAATGTTTCCGAAAAAAGAAGGAGAAACTTCTCCAGTTGTAGCACACTTGCTAATCACATCTCCACCATCATAGACGCGTCTTTTCCTCTCTTTCTCTTGTCTTTTGAGCTCTTTCCTCCACCCCCTCCCAACACCCGCAGCGGGAGGGAGGGAGTGGGCGTGAGCCAGAGCTGCGGGGGAAAAAACTCACTAAAGCTTCACAACGTCTTTAGAAGCGGGGCCGTATGTTCAAAGACTAAGTGTCAGCCCGCTCGGTTTTTTCATGCTTTGCAAGGTCTAAGTTGTCAAAAATGGAATAGCATAACACTTAAAACTTAGCTCAAAACATCCCCCTGGGAAACCGTCGCCAAGCGAACCCAGCTCAAGGATGAAGACATTGTCCTCTTTCCGTCCGCCAAACCGGAACAAGAAAGAGGCCTCACAATGTTTCCGAAAAAAGAAGGAGAAACTTCTCCAGTTGTAGCACACTTGCTAATCACATCTCCACCATCATAGACGCGTCTTTTCCTCTCTTTCTCTTGTCTTTTGAGCTCTTTCCACGCCCCCCCGGCCCGCTCTTTAGAGCTAGCTCAAGCGATGGCACAGGGGTGCGACATGAATTCTGAAAAATAAGGCGAAATCTTCGGTTGATGGGAGTCCAGGGTAAGTGCGTACCTGCTAAGACTGCTAAACCATCGTTCACATAGGCGCGGGCGGCGCGGGCATTTTGCCACCTCCCATAGAGAAGTAAACGATCAAGTGATCCCCACTTCCTAAACCAGTACGTCGCTCCACCCCTTCGGAGGGAGTAAGGTCTAAAGTCAAAGGTGTCAAAACCTACTGCTACCAGTGTGTCATTAAACATTTTCCTCCACTGAGGGGCCTTCGAGCACAAGGGTGTTTTATCTGACACATCCAGGGTCCAGCGGTGAAGCCACCTAATGACCTGTTCTGACGTGAGGCTAACGCTCTCGGCAGCACCCTGCCTTTGTCCTCCTTTGGTGTAACCTAAAGCCACCACAGCCGGTCCACGTTCGGAAGAAACAGAAATGCTACTCGACGTCAACCCTAACAACTCTCCCGTTCGCAAGACTCCATAGAAGCCCACGAGGAGAGAAATGGCGAACTGGTACTCTTTGCGGAAAATGGCATACCCGACCATAGTCTGAAGCGCCTCCTCTGGCAAGGGTGGGGCGCGGCTTGGAACC